TGACTTCAGTTTTCCATATCCTTCTTTTGAACACCAATTAGCAAAACAACCCCTTCCCCCCTCCGCCCCAAAGCTGTCAAGCTGTTCAGAGTAGTTTGTAATACTACAATAGTACTATTGTGAACCGTGTCTGGGCTTCCTTCCCACAGAGAGTTAAAATGGGCAGTTCCTGTTGCCCATGATTGGTGTCCAGTGAAACAATACGCAGCTAGGTTTTATCAGCTCCACGCCAAAAAAGTGAAGCCAGGGAACCCAAGCCTTCATATCATGCTGAACCATATGCCAACCCTGCTGGCCCTAAAGGTTTATCGCTGAGAATCAGGATCCATCATGTCCCCTGTGAAATTTCACCTCACATACCTTCTGTGAAATACATGGCTTTGCTGAAAATTGAACCTTTTCACAATTGGCAAGAACAGATGGATGGTAAATGGGGCTTGGCAACAGGAATTAAAAGATTTTGAAAGCTCATACTGGTAATAAGTAGAAGTACTCCAAACAAAATGGATAAATTTGTGACCTTTATCTTTTTATTTTAATTAACTGCTAAGAGGGAAGCTTTTTTTAAAAAAAAAAATCCTCAATTTCAACAAGAATATTAAGCAGCCCACAGTATTAGAGCTTCCTGTACTTTAATGGAGCTTGCTTTACATGTGAAAACTAAAATCAGCTCCAATATTCTTTTTATGAGTAGAAAATAAAAAAAAAAATTTTTTTGGTGGTTATATACAGCACATATAGAATACTTTTAATGAAATGTTCTTTTCTGGTTATATGTAGCAGCTTGGCAAAGCATGTTAAACTATTTCTTATATAACCATTCTTTCCCAAATAAAAATAAAGATTTACAATCAGTTTCACAAAATCTCTAACCTTGCAACGCTTCAGTTTAGTAAACTTGATCTTGATCAAAACTCTGTGAAAATTATAAGATGCCAAAATTGTGAAAAGCTTTTAAGAATATTTCAAGGAACTCAACTACTAAATTAGTTCAAGTAGACAAAATTCTTTTGCTACTTAATGTGAGATACACGAATGTAGTACAATTATTTATTTAAGCAGAGCAGATATATGTTTCGTCTTACAAAGGCACTGGAAAATATATTAAGGCTAATGATAGGTCTATCTTGATTTTTTTTTTAACAAATACAGCCTGAAGGTTGATGAGCATAGGATTAATGCCAAATGCTACCTCAATCAACTATCTTCTCCTATCTGGAGCATCTACTGCATTCCATAAAATAAACAACAAGCATAAATCAAAGGACATTTTATAGCATGACTGTGGTCAGCCAGCTAGCTGGAGCCATAGCTTCAAAATCTCCATCTGCCACAAGATTGTGTGCAGTTATATTCAGTTTGTGTCACTATTTGCACTAAAGTCGCTCACTGTCAGTTCCCTCCTTCTGTACAAAGATGCTAATGATGAGTTATCTTATACGGAGCTTAAAATTACTGAGATAAGGAATTCAATGCCTGAATTCTCCTTTGAAGCTAAAATGGCCAAACTGAGGCTATCGTCCTTTGGTCACATCATGAGAAGACAAGACTAATTGGGAAATACAATAATGCTAAGAAAAACGGAAGCCAGAAGGAAAATAGGAAGACCTAATGTGAGATGGATTGATTCAATAAAGGAAGTCACGGCCTTCAGTTTGCAAGACAGGAGCAATGCTGTTAATGATAGGACGTTTTGAAGGTCATTAACTCATAGGGTCAGCATAAGCTGGAAGTGATTTCACAGCACATAACACACACAAGGAACATAATATGATGTGAAAATTAAACTTATTATGGACTGGAATAAAATTTTTCTAAGGCTTACAAAAGCAAGCCTATGCATAATTAGTCTAGCAGGCTTAGACTGGAGCGGCCTTTCACAGGATTGCACAGTTAGAGGACTATATATTCAGCTGAAAGCAAACAATTTTTTTCTGATATAATTCTGTGTAAAAAAAGTGGTTAACAGTATGAAAGCTGACAATTAAACATTAATGACAGCTATCTATAAGACTAACTCAAATATATACCACTGATTTCAAAAGAACTAATTTCAAATCTGAATAAAGTTTCTCAGTTCTTTGAAATTCTCTCTCAAACTTACTCTACTTTTCTTAGTCCCCAATTTGCACCCATATTTTCAGGAAGCAAACAAAGAGAGGCTTGGATCCAAACAATCAATAACACTTCCATCAACAGAAAGATTTCCATTAGGAAAGCATGATTTGTCCCCCCCACCTCCAGCAGTCCAAAGTACACACTGCAGACAGTGTGCTGTAGTGGTCAGAATGTCAGATCAAGATCTGGAAGCCCTGGGTTCAAATCCCCACTCTGCAATGGAAGCTTTCTGGGTGACCTTGAGTGAGTCACACAAAGTCAGCCTACTTTACCTCATATGGTTGTTGTGTGAAGATAAAATGGGGAAAACATTATAAGTCACTTTGGGTCCCCCTTTGGGAGAAAGAAGTATAAATGAAGTTAACAGAAGTATCCTCTTTTGTTTCTAAAACCCCGACAGCCCGGAGCTGCTCGGGTTAGAAGCTCCCATATTTTTCTGTCCTCTCCTCAGCTTCCATGACTAGAGTAGAATGTTACATTTCTGCTTCAGGGATAGAACTGTTTCAGGATCAATCTGTTTCAAGATCCACTCCTTTTCTGGAATCTGACTGCTGCAAAGTACCTTGTGCTCTCTCCCTCCCATCAGAGGGCTGCCACATAGTTTGAGAACTACTGAATCAGAAGCCTAGAACCACAGTCTGAATTGCATGGACAGACCTAAGAAACAATTAAAAAACAACACCGATGAGCAATGTGGAAAGAAAACTGCAGACTATTGCTATAGTTTAGGAATGAGATTAGTACAATCAATCAATTTTACTTCGTTTACATTCAGCTGTTTCATATTGTTCCAACATATTTAGCTGCTCAGAGAAAAAAAGCAGAATTTCTCCTTGCAAGATAGGAAATTGATTATTTTTAACCTATCTAAAAATGTTTCCTGCTTTTTTCTGCTGAGGAAAAGCCAAAGAGTATTGTGGTGGTGGTTGGGGGGAAAGGAACATAATATATTTACATGACCCTTATTCAACAGCACAACAAGCAGATACATACAGACAATCAATGTACAAATCCATAAACAAGTTTCATAAGCATAGGAGAACAATCTATATGGCACACACAGACAAGAGTTAAAAACCAATCATGAATGCCTACTCAATCAGTGGTCTCTAGTGGCTAAATTCAAAGGCATTTAAAGTGATGCTTTGGAATTAGACATTGCAAAAAAAAATCCTAGTCTTTCAACAGGTAACTAATAAATAACTCAGAACAAGCCTATGCTACACCTCAGCTCCTATTGTCAAGCAGAGCACTGCCAATCCATGCTCTCCAGTGCTGTTTTTCTCTCTCTAATTGTATGATCAAGCCAATAAATTGGTTTCGAGGGACAAAAAAAGGACTATAAAGTGCCTACCATGACAAAACTGGAGGTTGTAAGAAAATGCACTTTAGACACAAGTAAGGCAAGACAAGACAAATGAAGGAGAGGTATCAAAACCTGAAAGACAGTCATCAATACTGACAGATTACTGTAATTCTGGCTGTCAGGACGATCGATTTAAACAGCATATGCCAATCAATACTGTTGTAATTTACTGAACAGCATTAAATACATACTTAGCCAAGATGTGCCCAAGATGAGCCCCAGACTACTTTTAATGAACATAAATTACACAATTTATGCTTTGGAATCTCAGGTCTGTGGACAGAAAATAGCTTACACAAATACTGGCATAAAATGTGTTTAAATTCTTTTGTCATTGTCATTATTCAGGTGTTTATTGTATCACCCATGATATATTTTTTCATACGGCTTCTATTTCTGCTTGAAGTCTATGCAAAAATATCACTTAGATATCAATATCAATGATTAAAAACGTATATATAACTAATTGGGTTGCATATTTGGAAGTCCTAATGGCTGGATCCTTCCTGGATCTCTGCAGCTCAATGATAATTGCTTTCCATTAGAAAACTGGACCTTTACAACAGTAGATCTTCAGTTTTAAATGTGATTAACCTATGGTGTAAATTTGCTGAATGGTCTTGTGAGGTATCTTTAGAAAGGTACCTCTAGGGAATGCAAATGAATTATGTCTGCAGTATGAATTGCACACAAGAATCCACACATAAGCTGATACATGTACAGATTTTGTAGGATAAATTGGTTATTTCTAAGCAAATTGCTCTTTAATTTCCTCTAAGCAAGGGGAAGTATCATGGTTTAGACTTTCATCCATTCAGATGGGTAGCTGTGTTGGTCTGAAGCAGCAGAACAAAGTTTGAGTCCAATGGCACCTTTAAGATCAACAAAGCTTTATTCTGGGTATAAGCTTATACCCAGAATAAAATGTTGTTGGTCTTAAAGGTGCCACTGCACTCAGACTTTGTTCTCCTTTCATCCATCTAATTCTTTAGTGACATGATACGGGGTTCCTCTCTCCCACTCCCAATCATTACAATATACTACTGTACTGATGCATAAAATAGAAATGTATCATGTTAAGAAAACCTGGGTGAAAATACATAATCGAACTATATGGCACTGAGTTTAAAGAACTGATTTACTGCATGATAATACTATTTGAAGGTATGTAAACAGTACTTCTGTTAAAATAATAATAAAAAATACTCCTTGAAGACAGCAGTCCTAAGCAGAACCCAAATTAGCGGGGTATAAACGTCTAAACATCAGCGGTGTATAAACACACAGGTCTATTCAATGGGGGCTTAATCTCAGAAAAGTGTTCTTAGTATTACACCGTGAGTCTTGTGATTACTGCACGAGTCCAGTTGAATTTTACAACTATTATTATTTAATATATTCCTTGCTTAAGACCTTTCCTTAAAAAATAAATAAATGTACTAATAAAAACAATTGATTTCAATAAAAGAATTAGCATATGTAAAGACTGAGAAAAGTTTGGGGTTTAAAAGGATACAAGTTTTGGTATAATGGGATGAGTGACTTCAATGCTCTGCTTGCGTTTATAGCTGTGGCACGAACCATAATAGGAAGAATTTTTCCATTCACAATAGCGCCATCGAACAATGGACCAAAGAATGGGACCTGAATCAGAAAATTGGGAAATTCAGCTGTTAAATCACTCTCTTTTCTAACAATTAGTAATCAACATTAACAAAGGATTGTTCAAACAGATCATTCTTCTCACCTCTGGTTAGTCAATCACAACAGTTATTCAAAATATTCTAAGAAACAGTTTATCTCATGAAAGTATGCCGATAAGATCACTTGATATTCTCAGCAAAAATAATTTTTCTCCTTATTTTGCTTTAAGAAGTATTTGAATAATTTATCTTATTCAGGCTTAGTTTAAGGCTAATAACAAGTCATGTATGTTATATTCCTGGAGGTCAAACTATGAGTAAGGTTATAGTAGGGACAAATTTGCTGAAGGGACATGATTAGTTTTAAAAAGACAACTGGTAAGAGTTTATATTCACACCTATTGTTAGAGCAATCTTAACATGCAGTTAATGAACAAGTAATCACAATCACTGTTAAGATACTGCCACATCACTGAAGGAAGCCAAGGAATATCATAATATGGGACAAATTTTGTGGTATGTGTGTTGGTTAATAGCATACATTCTGATTCAAAGATTCATATGCACAGCAATGGGCTGCATGCGTCTAGCTACTCAAATGGTGGTTGCTGCTATTAGTTACTATTTGACAGCTGAAACCATTCGTGGAGTGTTGCATTCATCATCTTCTGATGTGTACTGCAGCCAAAGCTAAATGCTGATGGGGATATCCAGCAAGGGCTTTTATGCATGCAGTGCTGTGTTGCAAATTCAGCTCTTAATCAGTCAATGAGAAAGCTACCTGCTCTACACATAAATCTCCTTTTCAGGAGTCAGATGATGGTAAATATGAAGACTAGTGGTGGAATGGATGGATACAGGCAATTGTTCCAGCTTTTCGCTTTTCTGCAGCTTTCCTGACTGACAACCTTGACATAAACATGGTTGTGTTTTTAGTAGTCAGAAAAATTAGCTCTGGATCATTCCTCACTGATGGTGTGAAACTGCTCTAATTTCTTATTCATTCCGCACTCTGTAAGCAAACACTATAGATGCACACAAAGAGAGTGGGAAACTCTGCATTTATACTAACAGGATAGGTTGGGAGCAATGCTCCCTCTAAGCTGTGGAGTCTTGTGAGCAAAACTTCTACTTTATGAGCTACTGGCATTAAAGTTGTGAGCGAGAATTGGGATACTGGATAAATTAGTTTGATCTGGAGCCATTCTTCCTGAGCTAAGACAAAAACGTGTGAGCCCGAGGCAAAAAAACTGTGACCTAGCTCACACTAACTCAGCTTAGAGGGAACATTGGTTGGGAGGGGAATAAAGGCAGATGTCTAAGCTCCCCCCAGATGTCGAGCCCCTTCCAAAGGCAACAGCCTGCCATGCAAACAAACTGGGGGGAATATTTTAACTATATCAATTTATATATTGCACAGACATAGCCAGATGGTCCTGACATGAGAATCCCAGAAAAGGAGGTAAAAGCTTGCTCCCATGCCAATTCATGCTTCCTAGTGCCCTCTCTGTGAGAACTTTAATAGGTTGTAGAATGGGGATGCTTTCTTCTATCTGCCCGAATTTTGGCAGGGAGGCTCACTTGGGCTATGGGTGCAATCTATAAGAATTCCATCCCAGCTGGAGGAAGAGAAGTACATTGGGAAATGTGATTCCCACAGAAAACAAAAGAAATGGGTATCAGATTAATTTCTTACTGCTACTAGCTTTATTTGTGATATTTAAAAACCTAACTTGATTATTACAGCTTCTTCTAATGTGAAAACAAGATATTTTGTTACAAGCATATCACATTTTCCTTTGGCTGACTGAGAGTTTCTATACTTATCAGCTCCAGGAAACGTTATAGTCTTGTCCTGTTCTGGAAAGTCGCACATGCTGTTTTGGATCCGAAGGCTTCTGTGAATGGAAGCAAGTTTGTGGAAGCAATTCCCACCACCTTTCCCTTCGTTCAGCAGGCCCCTACATCTGAGAAGCTATAGCTGGGAGTTGAAAGACGCTCCAGGAAAATATGCCATGTGGACCAGGGGACTGCAGCAGGAAGGACAATTGGTTGGTATCTCTAACCACCCTAGCACACACGTATGAGCACAACAGGTGATAAGCAAAGTGGAAGGCAGTTAAAGTTGCTCCTGTAAACATGTGCCATTTGCAGAAACTTGTATCCAGTCCATAGTGATAAAGTATGACAATACTGAGGTGGATAGGGGAAGACATCTGAAGTCAATCTCTCTTGTAATGTCATCTTGCCTCTCTTAGACTTCAGATGCTAAAATGCAATTACAGAGAATGCAGAGACACAATTGTACCTCTGGAACAAAGGAAGATGGCATTTTACATTGCAGTGTTGCATAATACCTACCCACCAGCTGCTAGCTCTCTCAGCAGTGTGCAAAGGGGCAATTTTGTGGAATATCAGTTTGCAAACATTTACCTTTGGAGCCTTAAACTGCTTTCATTTCCTTGTCCTGCTCAGAGTTCAGATGAATTCTGTGTCAAGGGGGCTGCCTCTGGTAATGTTAACAGCTAACTGAGTGGATGGAGCAATTTACTATCCTGGAAACCAGAACACGCTGAATCATGAACAATCTAGAACACAGCTATTGCATGAAGAAAATAAAGCTTTACCTCAGGTTTCTTCATAATCTGGATACTGAACATGTAATTCTTCATTGGATATATAACAATGAGCACATCTCCAAATTCTGTAGGAATTATTCCTCTTCTGTAGTCCCGCGTATGCTCTGACCAGACAATGTGAACTTCATCATTTCCTAAATGTCTTAGCTGAAATAACAGAAATTTTTACTTTTATAAACATATAATTCTCTAAACTCTGGCTGAAATTAAGGATCTGTAAAACAAACAGCAACAACTGTAGAAAATAATTATAAAATACCATGAATCTGTTTTAGGTTTAAACAAGTCATTTTTAAAGACTGGGTTATAATTGTTCATGTCTCCAAAATAACTTTAAAATGACACCTTGGCCAGCTCAAGAACAGACTCATTTCATGCAAAAGCTGTGGCTGCCTGCTAAAAGCACTACTGATTCAGTTTAGGCTCTTCAGTTTCATTTGCCAGCTTTCAAAGTTTGTGTATTACAAGCTAATGGAGAACACACTTCTAAAGACAAAACCTTTCCACATAAAGCCAAGATTCACATGCAATGACAATATGTGGTTTGGTTTTACAGGAATGAGCCTTGGGAATTCTCAAGCTTGTGTGCTTCCACCTCCACCCTTCCTGCTCTTGCACTCAGCTAAAAAAATTTACATACTTCCACAGCAATCCATCGTTTTTTGTTTTGCTCAACTCATAAGCCATGGCTTGTTCTTTGCCCTCTGAACCAGGATTCCAAATGGCAATTGAGCTATGGTGTACAAGGCCAAGAAGAAAACACGGGTCCAGCTAACTGCCAATGGAAATTTCCTGTGTCTTCCCTTCGCTTAGCAGTCCTTTATGACCCCTGGAAACATTATTCCTTCAGTTGAGGGCTGGAATTCTGCTAACAGAACAGGGGGCAATTAGTCCCTATCACCCTCGTCACTGCAACCCCCTGTCCCATGTAGCTGTTTATCCACGTGAATCTGGGATGATTATATGGAGTCAAAAGGGGCTTCTGGGTGGGGTATCCATGTGCTTCCACCAGCAGTTGTGTGAATCCAACCTCCAGTTTATGATTCAAATTAATCAACTGGCTACGGGTATAGCAAAAATATTTATGTTTTTCTAATGATCCACAGGGGGGAGTGGGCAGGATGAAGTGCATGAACCCAAAGGTTCAAGACAGTGTTACTGTTACAGTATGAAGCATACCTAAGGCTCAGTGAACAGATAAACTTGGTTTTCAGCTGTGCTTGTGGCCTCTCTTCCTCCTTTGACGGTAAATATTTTCAACTAACTTCAGTTACTCAAGACATCAAAATGAAAACACCTAGACCAATTGGGGTTAGTTTGTCTACTTTCTTCCATGGTAACTAGGATTCAATCATGGGTAACAATCCTAATTTTTGGAAAGGCACCTAACTTCAATGAGACATCCCCATTTGCTTTTTTGAATAACCGCAACTAATTAAGGACTTTTTCCTATGAGTTCCATGAACCAGACAAGGAAAAGTTGAAAGAACAGAGCACAAGAAAGCAATTATAAAGGTTTGCGTTAATTACAAATAAAATGAGGTTTGCTCACAAGATCTGAATACAGCCTAACTCTGTAAAGTTATGATATTTGAAGATGTTTAAGTATAGTGATATTTAATTGTCTTATATTCTGTTTTATAACACTTGATTGACATTCATATTTAAAAAAATGAAATGTAACAATGGATTTTCTACAGTCTCCAAGTGACTGAAACAAAACATACTTTTCCCTTGGCAAAAATATATATGTGCCACAATTTCAAACAACCATTTTTAGAGAGTTCAAATTCATTTCTTGCACAAGGATTATACTGTGTCACTGAATTCAATCTTAAAACAAATTTGCTTTTTACTCATGTGCCTCCAATTTTCTTTAAAGCATCTGCATAATTAAGACTGCAGTCTCAGTCTAGTTCATGTTTGGTACATGATGAATGCAGCATCAGATGGTGACTTGCCTATGTGAATGAAGGTAAGTTAAAGAGCACTGTCAAGTTGCAGCCAACTCATGCTGACCATGTGAACTTCCACCTCACTTGGTTTACAAGGCAGGTAATGAAGAGAGGTAGTTTGCCACTGCCTTCCTCTGCATAGCAGCTCCACTCTTCCTTGATGACCTCCCTTCTAAGTACTGAACATGGTCAACCCTGCAAGGCTACTCTGGGCTATTAGGGCTGCTACATGTGAGTGAAAGATGACGCTAATACCACAGATGGAATGTTCACATAATTTTGCATCACTGGAATCACTGCACACTTTCAGTTGCAATTATCCATTCCATAATTGTGATAGGAAATTAAGTAGTGTGATTACATGTGAATCAGCTCTTACCTGAGCAGAAAGAAAAGCACTCCACATTTTTAAAGTTCTTGGGAGTTTTTGTAGAATATGAAACAACAGTCTATAAAATATAAGCTCCCCTTGTAATGCAATAGCTAAAAATGTATTTTTCTGAGTGTAAGGTAATCTGTCTCATAAAGTAACATGGATCCTTATACACTGCAACCTATTCGTCTGCACATTGTTCCCCTTGGAATCCCTTCCGATAGTTCTAGGTTCCTCTCTCTGCTCCCTCTGGTGGCCAGACAAAATGCTGCTTGCCTTTTTAAAAATGTCTGCCCCTTCATCATGTTGATGCCCCCCTTTGGGGGAGCTTTGTGGATGGCACCTCCATCATACACAAGGTTCTCAATCTTATTTCCTAGTGGGGAACAAAAGACGAAGCAGGGAATTTATTTATATATATTTTATTTATATCCCACTCTCCCCCATGAGTGGGTGCCCTCCTCTGGGACATCTGCCTGGGTTGAGAATAGAAAGAATTACTTGTGAAGGTCTCCTGTCTGGTAAGTTACAGGAGTAGTGCTGGGAAATTCATGTTCTCCACCATGGGAGATTGTGTAGGGGTTTCAAAGGTTTCTATTCTCTATGCTTTTTAATACCTACGTGAGACAACTGGGAGATGTTCAATATTTTGTGGTTCGGTGTCATCAGTATTGGATAATATAGCTGTCTCCTTTTCTCTCCTACTCTAATCCCAGTGAGGCTGCAGAATCCCACAAACAACTCCTGAAATCTGTAATGGTCTGGATGAGGGCCAGTAATCTGAAACTTGGTCCAAACAAGATAAAAGTGATGGAAGCATTTTGCTGCCTGTTGAGTCACCTAGACCAGTTTTTGCTTCTTGACACTCATATGGCAGGAGTAGCCAGGAGTGCCTTGTTTGGTAAGCTGCCTGTATTCCCTCCTTCATGATGATCATCCATTCCTGAGTTACCTCTGAGCTAGAATACTGTGCATGAGACTACTCTTGCAGACCATTCAGAAATGGCAACTCTTACAGAATACAGTGGTCAGACAAACATTCTAGACCACAACCCAGTCCTAAAATAACTAATGTTTTCCCCCCATGGGCTTGTTCGAGCAGTTGATGTTGACCTTTAAAGCTCACACAGTGGGAGCTCTCATTATCTGAAGGAATGACTACCTGCATATTTCCCTTCTGAATTCTAAGATCAGCCATACAAGCTGTGAGAAGAAGTGCCTCTTCTGCCTGATGTATGCTATGTATAAACGTAAGATCTAGAACCTTCTTAATGGTTGTGCTGTAGTGGTGGAATTCTCTGTTAAGAGATGCTTGCCTCAACATTTTTAAAATAAGAGTTAACACTTTTTTAAAAATTTAAACCAGTTTTAACTGGATGTGAATGTTTTAATCTGGAGTCTCTTATTTTACTCTTATGTTTGGTTTTAATGATGACAAGCGGTGGGAACTCATTCTTCCCTCCTCCAATATTCCCTCTTTATCTTCCTTGGCCGTCCCCACAGCCTCTCCCCTCTTGCTGCCTCTCCCCTTTCTTGCTACCCTCTCTCCTTCCCATCACCCACCAGCCAACATACTATTACCTCCCCTGTCTTAAGCTTTCCCTACCTAGGCACCCTCTACCCTAGGAAAATCTGTGTGAGCCCAGTTGTCAAGACCTGGAGGGAGCCTGGAGAGCCTGCAATGATATTCCCCTGTATACTCCTTCTCAAACTGTTTCCACTTTTCCTCCTCCTGGCAACCTCCATTTCTTCCCCTTGTCATACTTCCTTCCTTCCTTCCCTCCCTCCCACCACCCACCCACGTTTTATCTGCTCCAAATCTTCAACTGTATTTATTATTCATTTACTTCATTTATACCCTACTTTTATCCTGAGTGGGGACCCAACACAGCTTACGCTTTCTCCTTGCCTCTATTTTATCCTCACAGCAGCCCTGTGAGTTTCTCTGGTTTGTAGAAAGATGTATTTACCTGTCCATGGTGCCAATCCACAGATTTAAGTATCCAGAGTTGAGGCCATATTGATGGTATTTTAGAATTACTGATGATATTTTATTCATTCTGTTATGTTATTAGTTTGTACTGTAAAGCACTCAGAGAGCCTTGTTACAGAGTGTAATGTCACCAAAAGAATATGCAATTATCCACAAACTTTTCAGACGTTGCACAGAGGAAGATGGTCTCATTATCCTAATGAACTGGATCTAGGTGCTATCTAATTTCAGTTCAGAGTATAACTTATAACTTTGCCGCCCACAACCAAGCAGAAATTTCACCCTTCGTAGTACCCACTATGGAGACAGCTGTTAATATAGTAAGCATCTGATCTTGACGAGCACTAGTAAGTAAAATTAGTTGTAATAGAAATACCAAGCTTTGCTTAAACTATTCCTACAGTTATAGCACAGGATTAAAAATTTTGCCTAACCACTGAACAAACTAACGACTGGAGAAAGCAGAGATACCTGAAATTTCATTTTAAAAAATCGAAATACTTTAAAACATTCTTACTTTACAACCATCAACCATGTGTCAGCTTTCCTAATAAGTTTATGTTAACTGAATACAAAAGAAATGTGAAATAAATATAACCAGAAGGGATGATCAAATCTAATTTTGATACATTAATGTCATATGCTGTACATGTTACAATACCAGCCAGAGTTAATACTAAACTGCAGGCTACACTGAGATTTCCAAATGGCAGATTGTTCTAAGTGATACCAAGTATAATTGAAGTAATAAACGATAGTAAAAGCAAAGCACACAGGCAGGAAGAATTCAAGTATTTACTTTAAAAAAATTAAATAAGTTAGTTTT